TTCGCATCTCTTACTGTGGTAAACATGCGGAAGGGAAATGAAAGATTTCATGGCCATGAATTAAGAATTTGTTCGATGTATTAATTTGTTCCCTCATTTTAGTTAAATCATGGGTTAAGGAACAAAATTAATGAAACATGGACAGTGGCCACAAATTAATAAGTCGAAGGAACGAATTAACAAGTTGTAGGAATTAATAGCCTATTTGTCCTGTGTCCCGCAGCCCTGCAATGCGCAGAGCCCGATATGAAACAATAGGGCCTTTCGCACTGCTTTAGTTCCAGAACTAAATGTACAGTACTAAAGTACTGGGACGATTTTGCACGAACTATTTCCCAGTACTATTTAAAGGGTTGCATTCGCACCGACAGTGTGTACTAAGAAGTGACGTAAGCCGGTTGACAGCGTCGTCATTTGTGCGCGGCATTCAACAATGGAAACAAAGAACAACAACATTAACAACAGGAGGATGGAAGACGCTGTGATCGGAGCTGTGTTTTTGTTGTGTCTCGCGGGTTTCACAATAATGGACATGGAATGTCGACGTATACGTAAAGCGATTGAAAGAACGGAAAGGAGGACTACGAATCTCCAACGACAACTGGCAGTGCTACATTTGCTACAAGTGCCTGCACTTCAGCGTCCGTCCATCTATCGCTGTTCTCCATACCTGCGAAATAAGTTGACACAATGTTTACAGTATGTTTACACAGCGTTTTAAATCATGGCGGGTGAGGACGTTTTCATACGCGTTAATCGATTGCATCTCTTATCGACAATTAATAGATCATCGATTAAACGTTGACATCCCTAATTACAATAAATTCTAGTTCTTTTATTACTATTTCTTATTTCTTTCCATTATTCTTTCTTTTCTTTTTGAATTCCCTTTAAATCCTTTAATTCTTTAAATCTTTAAAAACAAATTTCAAGACATGGTTACGGCCTTGCTGTACAGTAATAAACTGATGGTCATCATGTTAATTCTCTCAACTTTTATAGAATTAATGCTTAATGCAACCAGAAACATGCAACTATACATTAAGTGCACTAAGAGCACAAGCTCCTGACCTTAAAACACCAATCACATGTGCATTGTCATCAATCATGCTACTCATCTTAATGGCTCATGCAGTATAAAAAACACAGAAGTTTTAAAAACGCTACTTGGCCAGAATGGCCCTTGCACGGCCTCACTCCTCTTCAAATGAAAGGAAGGCACACGGGGGGTGAAGATGGGGGAGGAGCAGGCAAACAAAGCTTTGAGATGGTTCTTCTTTTCAGCTGTGAATAAAGAGAAGACGGGCGATTGTGGTACTGACCGCATCAGTAACCCGGCCAAAAAACCTGAAAGGTGAACGCATATATGCAACCAAACACTGAAATGGGGAAATCAGCATTATAAGTCTAAACTTAAAATGTCTAGTTCCCCTTTGTGAGTTAGGAACAAAAACATTACAAAAAAAGTCATTTTGAAACCAAAGTCAAATTAAAAGAGAAGGTTTTCCCCTTTCCTCCTCTGACATGTGAGGATTACACTGAGGGTCCTTCATATGAATGAACCCCTTGCCCTCTTTTTCCCTCCTCTTTTCTCTTAGCACTGGAACAAAGCCTCTGAAGTCGCACACAGTGCTGTCAATCAAAACTAAGACCACTTAGCTCCTCCCACTAAATGCACCAACAGAGTGAAGAACTTTTCTATTGTCCAAAAGCAAAGGGCAGAGGCAAGCCTAAAAAAAGAGAAGAAAAAAGATGGCAAGAATGTGGGATACAAAAGAGAAGAGATGAGAAATGAGGTCAGGATGGATGGAGAGCAGGAATTGGGCAAAGGGAAAGTGAGCAAGAGAGAGAGAGAGAGAGAGAGAGAGAGTGGTGGAATATTAATGATCAGAGAGGTGGGCTGATGAAGGATGAAATGGTTCATTAGTGATTCTGTTCTTCACGCAAGTCACTGAGACACTTACACTTGATTTCCTTTGCTGAACACACACAATGCTGCGGTGATATCCTCTCCACTCGTCTCAGTTTTACAAGTGCGTACCTGCACACAGCACACAGCGGCAGTTACTGGGTTCAAAAGGATTGTAAAGTCACTTATTCGTTTTAAGAACGGTGTAAAAATTAGGGTTTGTCAGGATAAACTTTGAATGTTTACTTCTAAATGTTGAATGCTGACTGTCTAAAAGTAAAAAGCAGAAAAAAGTTTGAAGACCATTTTTACCTCTAGTATCAAACATTTAATAAAAGGCTGAGTTCTGATGAGAGGATGATTGTCTAAAAGGATCGTCCTGTGCCAAACGAGTCTGGCACAGACTGCAGCTCCGTCACTGGTGCTATTGTACAACAGGGGGCCCGTGGCAGGACTGCAGAAGTGTCTGGATCAGCAGAGTACAGCATTTCTGTCCTGCAGATATTTCTCCAATATAAACAGCTTGTCTCACTCTTCATATCAAGCATGTTTTGTTTGAAAAAAATAATACCAATAAAAAAGAGATCATCAACCTCTGTGACTAATCAATGGTTTAAATAATCAAAGCATAATGTTTGCAGAACATTAAACAATGGAAAGTCTGGGTCATAATTAATTACACAGTACCCAACTGATTAAACACGCGTTAGAGAGTTTTATACAAAATTTCATTAAACTTTCGTTTTAATCACTTTAAAGGGGTCATATGATGCGATTTCAAGTTTTCTTTTCTCTTTGGAGTGTTACAAGCTGTTCGTGAATAGATAAGATCCCTAAAGTTGCAAAGAACATGCTGACCCTTATACAGTCTATGATGCTGACAAATAATGCTGCCTCACAGCCTGTAAGTACGTTTTCATATTTGCCACAGACGATTCAAACGCGAGTTTTGAGCAGTGTAGAGTAGCGCTTGTTGTTTGTCATTTCTCCGATCACAAATGCAGACATGGTTTTATGTTTACGTGGGACGATGCAACGAAACGCGTAAAAAGACAGAATATGTCATTATAATCAGTAATTATGTCCCCACTGGATGCAACAAATGCCTCATTTATAATGGGGTTTATTGTTTTTGTCTTGTTGCGCTCCTTAGTTTCTCAAAATTTAGTTTGTAATACATGTGATGCACAAATTAACGGATATTGTTATCAGACTGCCGAGTTGAGCGTACATTTAAAGTCGAGGGTTCATTCTGGAGGATTTGCAAAAACGAAACTAATTTGGACCAGTTCGTGTACACAGTCAGCAAGTAACAAGAAATAATCAATATTTGATCATCTTCTGAAGTGGCTCAAGATCACTAAGCCGAGAACAGAGACCAAGCAAAAGAGACACAAAACAGCAGCACAAGTCTTTCCATTTAAAGGGGTCATATGATGCTTTTTTAAAGATCATTATTTGGTGTATTTGGTGTAACAGAATATGTTGACATGCTTTAAGTCTTAACTTTGATAAAGAATATCTCTTTGGTTTTGAGACTTTAGTCTTTGCAACTTCAGGGATCTTATCTATGCACAATCAGCTTGTAACACTCCAAAGAGAAAGGAAAACTTGAAATCGCATCATATGACCCCTTTAAACTGCGTCCATGCCGACAGTGTCACACTTGGAATTTCTAAACAACAGCAGAGCTGAAGACTCTGGTGTGTAAACATGGCTGTAAATTGTTTCTTTTCTTAGGACTTCCTTTCCCTTCAAGCTCATGTAGGTTAGAAATGACAGGCATATATGACGGTACACAGAAACTCAGAAGTACAGAGAGAGGGATTGTAGAAACCATTGCCAGAGAAACCACCCGACAAGCCCATCTCAACACAACACAACTAACTGCTGAATGATCATGGGAAAGCAATAATTTTCTCAGGGAGGTGAAGGACTGTGCACTATTTACTGAGAGAGAAGCGAAGTTTGGGACGGAGCCAGACTTGAAATGACCTCTCGATGACTAGGCATTAGGGCTGGGCGATATGTCAAAAATATCTTATCGATAATCGCCTTTAAAAATATCGCGATATCCGATAATATCGTCTACCTAAGCCCCACCAACTACCATGCCCCGCCCCGCCGAGACAACATTGCCGGCATGCACCATAAACACACACCATGTTCAGTTTGGTCTTAATTATTGCCACAAAGTTTGGTTTTACTTTTCTTAGTTTGTGCTTAAACTAACAGAAAACATTAGCTTTGCTGTTGCTAATAATTTCCACTCTGTTCTTATGAAATTTGTGTTTGAAATGAATTTTGTTTTGTGAGGAGAACTGTTGAGGAAAAATAATAGAACCCAATTTTAAGTTCATCATGGTAAAGTTGGACATTCTGGCAGTGATTGTAAGAATGATAAATGCATGTTGATGTCATACAATAATGTCTTGAATAAAATATGCCTTTTTTCCGATGTTTCTCTTTCGTTTTGGCATTATCGCCTGTGTAGACACATTTCATGATGGCAAGTTTAATTTCCTTAATTATAACAATTGCAGCGTTGTTTTTAAACTTGTAGTCAAGCTATAAAGTATTTGATATTTATCATGTATGACTAAAATCATGCTTTATTTAATTAGAAGCAGGGTAATTTAAATTTATTTTTTATATTGTCATTTGTATAATTTTTATTTTATTAATCAAAATATAATGCCCACAATATAATATTCAGTATTGGGCTGCCGAAACTGCGAACGCATGCATGTTAAAGGGGCGAGCTAAGAAACCTACTAATGTCTTCATCTGTTTGCAACAAAAAAACTTTTTAGTTTTGTTGCAAATGAATTAAGAATTTATAGTGCTATATCTCAGCTTAATTAAACAATTATATTGTAAACACTGTTTACAAAATATTGCACTGAAATGTGCGCTGAAGGAATTTGCGTATTTTAATAATACCTGTCATGTTTGTGGTTTTTCATCATTATACACAGTGTTGGGGGTAACTCATTACAAGTAATGCGAGTTACGTAATCAGATTACTTTTTTCAAGTAACTAGTAAAGTAACGCATTACTTTTTTAATTTACAAGAAAATATCGGAGTTACTTTTTCAAAAAAGTAATGCCAGTTACTTTGTTTTCCCATTTATTGACTGACAAATTTGTTCTTTGATTAACATTAATAACTGGTGGCAGCGGCTGCTGTCAATGCACGGATCCAGTACACCCTTGTTTTCTTTCTCAACTCTTTACGTTCACTTAAGACATAACCGATTGTATTTATGGGATATTTTGATATAATTCTGTGTGTAT